TTCTTCATTTCATTGATTTCTATTGAGCTTTTTGCTCAAAGTGGCATATATAGTTTCCTTCTATTCCCCCCCCACACACACACAACTTTGTTGTGGCTGAAGAAAAACTATTGAACCTAAGTCATCCTGTAAGCTTCTAGACCAGGTATGTCCATGCAATCAAAACCAGAATTGTCCTATAGTTATTTCTTTCTTTATTTTCAATCCCACCTTATACATACATACCTTATTTATACATAACTCAAGGTAGCAAACATACCTAATATTTCTTCCTCTTATTTTCTACACAACAACAACATTGTGAGGTGAGTTGGCTGAGAGAGACTAACTGGTCCAAAGTCACCCAACCAGCTTTCATGCCTCAGGCAGGAGTAGTACTCACACTGGTTTCTATCCTGGTGCCTTAATCACTACAGCAAACTGACTCTCAATTTGTTTTAGATGTAAAACTAGTTCTGTCAGTTGTGGCTTCCTGTTTGTTTTTCCAAATTATAAAAAGCAAGATTGGTATGATAGTACTTCCATTTTGAAGATTTCATTAAGCAATATTTAATGCCATTTTTTAAAAATTGGGAAGAGGAAGAGGAAGAGGAAGAGGAGGAGGAGGAGGAGGAGGAGGAGGAGGAGGAGGAGGAGGAGGAGGAGGAGGAGGAGGAGGAGGAGGAGGAGGAGGAAGAAGAAGAAGAAGAAGAAGAAGAAGAAGAAGAAGAAGAAGAAGAAGAAGAAGAAGAAGAAGAAGAAGAAGAAGAAGAAGAAGAAGAAGAAGAATTATTCTATATCCAGGATATTTGCTATTATTGTTCTTTTATTTATGAAACCCTCTTGGTGCTGAAACATTGGTTTAATTATGTTCTAACAAAGGAATATTTAGCAAGTGCCTTCCAATCAAAGCATCACAACTGACTCAGGAAATAAATAATACCAGTATCACGTCACCACATATCTGGAAAGCAACCAAGACATCCCCTTGTATGGATTGCATCACTGTGTTTCCCACAACAGCAAAAGAAATCTTGTGGCCACAGGTTATCTTTTTAATTTTTTTTATTTTGCTGTTAGAAGTCCTTGTGTTTATTTGGAAAAATTGTCCTTAATGAGACAGGCTTGCCAAGTAAACATTCACAAGGCCTCCTCGGCTCTTGCAACAGAGTAATTAGGTCGGTGCCTTGTTCTGTGCTAGCATTAACCACTCCAAAAAGCCAATCCTGACTAGTAGTTAATGCTTAGACACAACTGGCTGCATCTCCTGCTAATTGG